CTAGTGCCATTGATTCTAAGGAAATTTGTATGTCTCCTACAAGATTTAGAATTAATTGCAAAAATACAACTCCAAATAAAATAATTATATCTTACCTAAACCATCAACATTACCTACAATAACGCCTGCTTTCCCTTACCTTATCAGGCCAAAACATCTTCTCTCTCCCCGTGAATTCTGGCATGTTGTTAAAAAAAAAATCCTTTTTTGATTATGGGAAATTGCATACTTTAATATTTTTAATTTATGTTCAGCAGTTTAGTTTATATGTGCAGTAAAGTATATTTTTGGTTTATGTTCAGTATATTTTATCTTTATGTTCAGTTTATTTTGGGTTTATGTTCAACAATATATTGTTCGGTTTATGTTCAGTATGTATATTTCACGAATCACTCACGATTTTGGAGTATATTTCACGTCACAATATTCTTGGAGTATATTTCAGTACGTCCGATCATTTTTTTTCTGTTTTCATTGTTATACACACAACAAAAAAAAAAGGAAGAAGAACACAGAGGGGGGCGTCGATATACTGGACATATATTGTACATATACCACAACACAACACAAACACAACACAAACGACAGAGGCGCGATCGATCTGCGATCTTTTTCTTAAGAAAATTACGCAAATATACCACAAAAAAAATAAAAAAGTTGACAGATCGATTAAAATCAATGTATATTTTTTCCTCCTGCCAGGTAAAAAAGTATATATTTAACATATACTGTACATATATCGATCATATACAGTAAATATACCACATCGCAGCACAAACGATAGAGGCGCGATCGATCTTTTTCTTAAGAAAACGCAAATATACCACAAAAAAAAAAAAGTTGACTGATCGATCTTCACTCGTCTATTTGTTGACCAACTCGTCAACGTCGGGCGCCGGTTTCCTTTCAATCTCGGTTTGGTCATGGATTTTCTCTTTCACCTCAGATATTTGCGATTCCTTTGTCTCTAACCGTTGATTCTAGAATAGCAGAGATGAACACAAACAGATAAAATATCTCGGATGAACCGAAGGCTATCAGATATCACAGAAAAAAAATTGCGATTCGAAACTGAGAGAGATGGTGAACGCTGGCGGAGGTTTTCACGGAGAGATACAAATAATTATTCCGATTTAGAGAGAGAGAGATAGAGAGAGAATGTTCCTCCTATTTATTTGGTAAGTATATCTCAATTATTGATCTCAAATGTATTTAATTTCCCAAAAATTGCTTAGTAACGGTTAAAAGGACTTTGCACCTTATTAGGTATATTTGCAATAATTTGTAGTTGGTTTGACTATTTTATAAATAAAAATAAAATAATTGTATAAGTGTTATATAAATTGAATATGATTGTATAGGGTGCAAAATTCTCTTGATTCTATATTGCAACCACATGCAAAGTTATCACTATTGAGTATTGAGACCCAAATTTTGTTAGGTATCTTATGATGATGGTATTCTTGGTTTAGTTAATAGCCTAGATAATAGTGTTAATTGGTGTAGCTGATAATATATGGTTGATCATAAATTATGATAGGAAAAGACTGCAGTTCTGTCACGGAATGGTTCCGTGAGGGATTGTAGCCATAGATTATCTATAATAACTAACTTGCATACATATCTAAAGGCTAAATTCCTCACAGAACCATTCTGTGACGGGACTGTAGTCTTTTCTTTTATGATAAATCGATAATTTGTCGATGTTGGTCTTGAACTATGATTGAGGATATATTATTGTTTAACTATTTGGAGGTAACTCATTCATAGCATATGCATGACTCAAATATGTATAATTTACAATGAAATAATAGTAAAACGTATAATCGATACAAAGTAATAGTAGCAACAAATGAATATTTACATGATAAAATACCAAATTTTCAGGTTAGTTCAATCGAAACTGAAGTCGGATACAAACATGCCTTTTACCATTATCATATTCGTTGATCAGCAATTTACATAACGATTTCTCGTGGATGTGTGTGTAATTATTCCGCAATCACTTCTTTTAAGTTTAACCATCTATCAACTAATAATTTGTAACTTTTCATAATCAAACATAATGAAATTGGAGATGAACTAGCTTATCAAACCACTCCAATATACTCCCAATGTGTGTGTTAATCAAACTTTAGAAATCCACAAACAAAAGCCTATTATTCTATGTCATAGACTAATGTGATCATCTCATCATATGAGCTACATCTAATAATCTTGCTAAAAAGTGTGTAGGATTATCTACTTAACCAAGATTATCATTTGATAATACAATAAAAGGCTAAATTATTAGCAACATGGGTTGACTCAAGTAGTAAGCAGCTTGATGCCGCATAAGCAATGTCTGGATTTCGAGTCCTTGTGGATGCAGAAAACCATTGTTGGGAGACTCACCACCACTACCAGGTGTGCGACTCGGGTCGACCAACAGATTAGTCGAGACATAGCTCCGGATATCATGACTGCTACAAAAAAAAAAGGCTAAATTATTATTTTTCAAATGTAGGCAAAAGGGGCCCATTATTGCCATGTAGATTAGGACCCAAGGTATAAGATGTTGGATAAGCACATGAGCAAGACAGAAAAAAGTTAAGACAGTTCGTTAAACAATTCAATGAGAAGTCCTCTTCCAAAACAAATTGGTCCACTTGTCAAGCTGTCATCTCTGCAAAGTGTGTGTTTTTTTATTTTAGTTTCTCTCATTTAAAAAAAAATTGAATAAACAAACTATAGTATAGTGAGACTACTATTAAACAAACTTATTATATAAATATTTATATAATTTTTTTCAATATATAAGCAATTAATCAAATTAAAATACCATACCTTAAAAATACAAATAAAAGTATGACGTTCGATAATATAAGTACGCATTTTTATTAAATTATTATGACGGAAAAAATTGTCTAACTGTTAGACCGATGGGTATAAGAATCTTTGTACACATATAAATGGAAATAAAATAGACCGTTTATGTGAATCAAGAGGACAAAGGGGACACGATTATTAGTTTATTATCTTTTTTCTTATGTTTTTTTTTTTTTCAAAAGAAGTGTTGGGTGATTAGAGTAATCACACTTCACAATAGCTAAAGCTCTACTGCACATGTTGTTTCTTTTTTCTTGTTTTCATTTTTAATTGTCACCTGACCACCATGAAAATGGGTGTAATCTTTCTCCTTAATTCTTTTTTACTTGTTTAATTACTTTGTTGAATAAAGCTCACAAAGTGATGGTATTTGGAATTTAGGGGTGGTTGCTTGTGAGAAAATGCAAACAAAAGATACTTCTTCTTGCCTAGCTCTATATTCATTAGTAGAGGTTTAAACGAGTCGAATCGAGTCAAGATTGAACTTTTAAAAATGTTCGAGCCTAAGTCTGGCTCGTTAACTAAGTACGTCGACAAATAAGCTCCAACCCGATTTATTTAGCAAAACTAACAAGTAGATCTTATGTTCCAACGAACCAGACTCAAATTTTAACAAGTTGAATTAAGGTAAAAAAAATAAATTACAAAATTATGTGGAACCTTCACCCTTGAGCCTTGATTATCTTGTCTCGTTATTTGAACAAGTCTAGGTTCGATTAATATCAAACTCGTCAAGTCCGATTAGCAACCAGCTCGTTTTGTTTAATCTTGATTGTTTAAATTAAACAATAAAAAATTAAAAATATGTTTCAACTGCATAGAAATGATTTGTACTACCTCTTTTTTTTTTTTAAATGTCATTTTAGTTTTATCATCAATTAACTAAATAAATAACGTTTTGGATTTTTTATACATATTTTTCCATTATTACTTTCATCTAGTTAATAAGTACACTACGTTTTTTTATATTCACTCTTCATCTTTTCTCAAAACATTCATCTCTACCCTTTATTAATGAGGGTTATTATTGACAAAAAAAAATTTCTTAATTACTGTGCAATTTCTCAAAACCATACTTATTAAAAATAGGAGGGAGTACATGTAAAAGCTAGATGGGTATGGACTATGGATATAGATAAGCTGATTTATTTAACATAAAAATTCATAATTTATTATCTAATATCATTAAGGGGAGATCCTACTGTCTCGTTACATAATCATTCCGTTGGGTTTGTAACCGTTAGATCATAATGTAACTATTGTGGATAGTTGATCTAACAGTTACAAATCACGACAGAATAGTTCCGTAACGAAATCGTAGCATTTTCCATCATTAAGTATGTCTTCCAATATGAATAAACAAAGTACAAATTACAAAAGCATTCAATAAAACAGATATAATAAAAGTGACTTGACCATCAATGCAACTATGCAAGTCCATAGAAAAACATAAAAGGACACAATTGTTAAAAAAAAAAAAAAAGAGCCCATATTATATTCCCTCAGTCAGCAACCACTGAGAGAGGGTAAAGAAAGTGAATCAGACAGTGCACCAGAAAAAAACACAGTTAAATAAATACGTGTATTTAATTTTTCACAACCTCCAAAACACATCACCACCCACCACCATTCCTTACCCAATTCCCAAGCTTTTTTCTATCTATACCTTCTGTAAAATCCCTCTCTCCCTCTATTCTCAAACCCTAGAAAAAATCTATAAAATCACTGCACGTTTATGCCATTTACAGCTGCTACATGGGCATTTTCAAGAAACCCTTGTAAAGGATTTGTAATAAAAGGACAAAGAGGAGAAGCACAAAGCTCTTCTTGCTCAGGAGGAAAAACCCAGATAAAAAATGGGTGCTTTTTTATCTCTCAGGTACTTACTAGCATCCCTCTTGCTCAATGTTTGCTTGAATGCTGTTAATGCAGACCCAAATCTGGCCTTTTATTTCGAGGGTTTTGGTAAAGATTCAAACTTTGAGTCACAGCTTGCTCTGTTCGGGGATGCTAAGGTTGTTCTGGGCAATATGTCTGTTGAAATTGCTGGTACGAGGTCTTTTCATGGTGGGGGGCTCATATGTAAGAAGCCCATGAATCTTTTGAGCTCAAGAAATATGGTGTCTTTTTCAAACTACTTTGTGTTCTCAATGTCTGGGCAAAATGGGGATGGTTTGGCCTTTTTCATGCTCCCTTCTGATTTTCCTCACAATTCTTCTGATTTTGGCTCAATGGGGATATTGGGGGAGAAAAAATCGAAATTTCTTGCTGTCGAATTCGATACTTTTATGGATGTCAAGTATGGTGATGTCAATGGTAATCATGTTGGGTTAGATATTGGTTCCCCTGTATCTGTTAAGGCTAGCAATGTTTCCTCTGTTAATTTAGTGCTTAATAGTGGTGAAAAGTTGCAATCTTGGATTGATTATGAAGCAAGTGGTAAAAGAATTGAGGTGAGGTTGAGTAGATTGGGTCAAATTAAGCCGGTTGCCCCTTTGCTTTCGTACCCGATTGATTTGTCCAAAATGTGGAGAGGCAAGGATGTTACCGTTGGATTAAGCTCGTCGAGTGGTAACTCTTCTCAATATAGTATAATTTACTCGTGGAGCTTTAAATCAAGAATCATGCGACACTGGATGCATTCCGAGCCTTTGGATCCGGAAGGTTTTGCAAAGAAAGGAGAAAGTTTGAAAATTTCGAAGAGATCAGATAAGTGTGCTTTGAAAATACTTGCTGCATTGGTTTTTGGGTCCGGATGTGGTGCGATTGGGGCATTTCTCGTGTTGTATTTGTGGGCTGTGTTCGGAAATAGGCGCCCTGTGGTGCCGGAGGAATTTTCTGTGCAGACTAAAGAATCGGGATATGATAAGATTGACGTTCTTTCTTCAGATAAAACCATCGAAGATGGCAAGAAGTAGTACTAGGCAACGTGTTCGTTCGACTTGGATGCGTTTTTCTGTGTCTTTTTTTTTTTTGTAAATCCTAAGTACGTGGTTGTGTTTCGGTTGCTGTAATTTAGTGATCATTCATTGTGATGTAAGTTTCTATGCCGTATTCGATATTCTCGTATGTTTTGATCATTAAGATACAGCTTCATTCTCGAATCTTGATTGCGAAGTTGAGTTCTCTTGTTTGGTTGTGAGATTTGTGGTGTGTTTTTGGGTGTTAATTGTCATGTATTTTTGTTCATGTGTGATGGAATTTGGTAGTGTTAATCTTTCTTTCCTTTTTTTTATTTTTTTTTATTTTCTCCGATATTGTTGTTAGGTTGATTAATGGTTAGACATTCATATTTTCGTTTTTCATATTTATACGCCATGCTTTAATAACCACGAAAACTGAAGGCATATGTATTATTAATAAAAGTATGGTTATCTAACTATTAAGTAACCTAACACCAGCTAGAGTGTTCAACCTTGAGCTCGTTTAGGCTCGAAAATATGAACTTTTATGTTATTTTTTAAATATTGGTCGTTAAAGTTTAAATTTGTTTCGTCAATATTAATAAACGAACTACGCTTGAGCTTGGTTATTGGCTCGTTCAGCTAACAAAATGGAAAGGCTTGAGTCGGTTCGTTAATATTAATAAACGAGCTAAACTTGAGCTTGGTTATCGGCTCATTTAGGTGACAATAGATTTTTTTATTGCATTTCTATCTTTGAATAATAGTTCATTTGATGGAGTTATACATAATCAATGATTATACAAAAGAAAGGAGCATGGTGAAATAATGATGTCTTGATTATGCCTAGCATTAGTGCAAAAACAAAGGATTTGTGTTTGGAATCAAATATGTAGGGGATTTGACATCTTGTTGGGTAGTTGGAAGTTGAAACCACCACATGATGGACAACCAAATCCCATCATTTGCTACAAAGTAGGCCTAATTCTCTAAAGATAGCCCAAACATATATATTTCCCAAAGGATGGCCCAATATAGTGGGCTACCCTTAAGCCCAACAAAATAATTGTATTAAACACGGTCGGAAGAGGTTAATCGTGGAGTAACTGAGTCCACTCGTTTTGCCAGCCACAAAGGAACGATTTCATACTTCAAATCGTTCCCTTTAAAACCCCAAAATTAATCCGCATCACATCACTGTAATTACTCTCAGAAAAAGGGCTTAATTTTAGGGAAAATCAGCGTCGAAACCCCAAACTACCAAGTCATCGCCGACGCCGGCGACTACGAGATCCGAAAATACCCGCCGGCGGTGGTCGCCGAGGTGACATACGACCCCGCCCAATTCAACTCCGACAAGGACGGCGGCTTCTCCATCCTCGCCCGCTACATCGGCGCCTTCGGCCGGCCGCAGAACGCGAAGCCGGAGAAGATCGAGATGACAGCTCCGGTCATCACCAGGCCGGCGCCGCCGGAGAAGATCGCTATGACCGCGCCGGTGGTCACCTCGAGCGGCGGGGAGCTGGTGACGATGGGGTTCATCCTGCCGTCGAAGTACGCGAGGGCGGAGGACGCGCCGCGGCCGCTGGATGAGAGGGTGGCGTTGAGGGAGGAGGGGGAGAGGAAGTACGGCGTGGTGAGGTTTAGTGGGGTGGCGCGTGAGGAGGTCGTGGCGGAGAAGGTTACAAAGCTGAGGGAGTGTTTGGAGAGGGACGGGTATAAGGCGGCGGCGGATTTCGTGCTGGCGAGGTATAATCCGCCGTGGACTCTGCCGCCGTTGAGGACGAATGAGGTTATGATTCCGGTGGACTGATTTTGATCGGAGATTAATTTGTGTAAATTATTGAACCTATTGTAATTTTGGGTGAGTGATCTTTATGTGATGAATTTGGTCAAATACATTGATTAATCCAAATCCAAATGGTGTCTTATCTCAAGTAAAAGATATTAATTTTTGTGAAAGTAAAATGTATTAATTTGTTCATTCATTCTTGTATAAATGCAATTGTGTTCATTGAGATGTAACGCGTCTATAGACTTAACTCAATAAACAGATTGAGCTCGAGTTCATTTAAAGACTCGATCGTTAACTCAATAAACAGATTCTAGGAAAACATTAAATGGCTTTCGTCTCGAATCAGAAAAATGAACGTGTTTCGTATGATCTTAAAATGAAAGTGATCCGGACCGAATTTCAAGTGATCTTGAGGTTGAGTTGATTCATTTTCAAGAAACCTTTATTAGTAATTAGTCCATACACAATATGGTTTCGAATCTTTATTTGGTCGAATACTAAAAAAATCTTCAGAACCGAACCACAGTGTACTATTTGAAACACATCGACTGGGAAAAAAGTAAAAACGAGAACGGGAAAGTTTGGCTCGTTATAACATTATCTTACCATATAAATGAAGCCAATAGTAGAAACAAAGGGGAGAAAAAAATTATGTAAACAATAATAAATTGAATAAATATGCAGTTTCCCTGTACCAAAATCTATCAAACCAGCTTTCTCAGCTCACAAACCTCAGGTGTGTATACATATATGTATATATTCTCACCCATCATAAACCATAACAAGGATTTACATACAAAGATCACATCTCAAAATGTACCTATATTTGAATGTGACCCTTTTTCTCTTGCTATGGCCTGCAAACGGCGAAAAAAATCGACTTCGCATAACATTCCTGTCTCGTCGTGTCTCCCAACTCGTATTTCGTCGTGTACTATACAAAAATCTTTTATCTTCTTTTGCCCTTTTTTCAGCTTATGCTAACCAAAAACGAACAAAAAAATGTTAAAAAAAAAAGGTATCTGTCATTGTGAAGCGATTCTCATGCGATCCAACTGCTTCCTCTTGTTCTGCTCTTGTGACCTGTTGCAAACACAACCCGGGAAAGGATTCGCGTAAAAGTTCTCTTCCAACCTCGGAAGTTGCCCGGGCTGTCTGAAATAAGGCGCCCCGATTCTGTCCGAATGCAGTCTCTTAACCTCGG